AGTCTTTGAGTGATTGAATTTTTCTTTAGATCGGTGGTCTTTGATTGAGACCAAAAGTTTACTTCAGTTTTGAGCTATATAATATATGCCACAGGACACAGGTGAATAATAGCCCAAGGATCAACTATGGGTAGATTTTTATTTTAATGAATAGCATATAAACCATAGTTCACTAGAATAAGAATATTTCTTAGGATAGGTTGATATTTCTTCTGCAAAATCTTCATATATGGATATAGACTGCTACTGAGTGAGAGCTCCAGTTTAACAGAATCTTTCCTAAGTCCTCAATGGAGAATTTGTTCAACAGTGTCTCCTTTGGATAATATATTATGTAGTGTCTTTATTATCTCAAAGCTGAGCAGTTGAATAATATTTTTTTTAAGATTTATTTATTTTGTATATAGTGTTCTGTCTGCATGCATGTCTGTATGCCAGAGGAGGGCATTAGATCTCATTATAGATGGTTGTGAGCCACCATGTGGTTGCTGGGAATTGAACTCAGGACCTCTGGAAGAACAGCCAGTGCTCTTAACCTCTGAGCCATCTCTCCAGCCCCACAGCTGAATAGTCTTAGTAAAACAATTCTTTTCTTTGAGAAAGGGTCTCATGTAGTCCAGGATGGCCTCAAACTCCCTATATAGTGAAAGATAAATTTGAATTCCTTATCCTCCCATGCCAACCTCCCAAGGGCCAGGATTACAGACATGTGCCACCATGCCTACTTTATGCATCGCTGGGGATGAAATCCAAGGCTTCATGAATGCAGGCAGGCAAGCACTGCCAACTGACCTTTATCTACAGCCCTAAAATTGTGACTTTTTTCAAAATGTTTTACTGTCGACTTCAGTACATGTACTCACACACATTATAAGCATCTTGTATATAGCTTTCCTATTAGACAAGCAGATATCTAGTAAAGAGCAATTAATTGCTGGTTGTTAGGGGTGCAAAATGATAGTTAGGATACAAACTAAGAAATACTAGCACAACTCTGAATTTATTCATGCATATGTCAGTATACGACATGGCATTTCACAATAGGCAAGCAGTTGGCTCTTCTTGCTATTACTATTTATCGAAAGCTCCCTTGAACCAACAGCAAAGAAGTACTTGTTTTTGTCCTTGTCTTGAACAGTTCTTGACTGTGACTGCTCCCAAAGTCATCAACATATGTAGCATTTTAGGCACTAGGCAAAACATTATTAAGACAATCTCATACCATATTCATAGAGAGCAAGCAGGTCAAATATAGGGAGAGCAGTACCTCCTTGTGTATGTATAGATGTATAGATGCATATATATCAGGGTTTCATGTATGCTTGCTTGGTAAGTGCCGTACCACAGAGCCATACCCCCAGTTCTATGTGTACTTTTAGATGACAATGCTTAATATTTCTTTCCTCCAAACTTTGTGAGTACGGTATGAAGGATTTTCTGAGTTAGGAGTTATTTTGGTGGGATTATTATCTTGATTCATAGAAACTATCTCTACTGGAGCCATAAGCTTCCGTTTGAGGGAAGAGACACGTTGACAGTAGTAATGTACTATTCCTTTATGTTGGTTGATAAAGGGCTTTACTTACAATGCCAACTCTACTAACTCCCATAAAACTTACAGGAAGCTTGTAGAAATCATGGACCTCTGCCGTTAATATCAAATGACCCAAGATATCTAACATGAAATTGTCATTTCAAAAAAAAAAAAAAAACCCCAAAAACTCCAACTCTTTTGATGGTATTAGAAAATATTCATGTAATATTTCCATATCCAGTCTATGGAAGAAATTTTAAATGTGGGGAGTTTGGTGTTGTGATGAAACTATTAAGTCCCTGCCTGACTAGTATGAAAAGTATGAAAGGTTAGAAGCAAGGAAAAGGTAATCTTTTTATCAGAGAGAAAGTGAGGGGAGGACGGGAGGACGGGAGGACGGGAGGAAGGAAGAAGAAAGGAAGAGGAATGAAAGAAAGAGGAAAGAAAAAACGAAAAGAAAGAAAGAGGAAAGAAAAGAGAGAGAGGAAAGAAGAAAGGGAAAGCTTTTCAGTGAATCCCACAGAGAAAATCAGCTCAGGAGCAAAGCAGCAATTGAGCGACAACTCAGACTCCTATATCATCCATGTTAGCCGCCAATAAGCGTCTTTCTGTGTCTGTAGTGAGCGGTGAGCCAGAGACCCGGCAGGCTTACGGAGCAGAGCCAGAGACCCGGCAGGCTTACGGAGAAGAGCCAGAGACCCGGCAGGCTTACGGAGCAGAGCCAGAGACCCGGCCGGCTTACGGAGCAGGGCAGGTGAGAAGGAGAGAGCAGCCAGAGCAGTCATGCCTCTTTCACCTTCCCTTTCGGGCAGGCACATGGGGCAGCAGTAACAATGGCCAGTGTAAGGGGCTCAAGCCCAAAGCACACTAGGTAGAAGCACTCAGAGGATAATTGCTGGGACCGAAAGGCATGTTTACTGGGATTTAGACAACTGCAAAGCCATTTAGATGGCCAAGACTGTTTTGTCTCCTCCGTACTACTTTCCCCTTGTACTCTGCTATCTGAGCAGCTGACAGCCAGGGCCCAACACTGCAACCTTTGCCAAGTGTGCTGTCCATCCAGTGAAACACCTGGTCCTATGGGCCTGGGGAGGAGACTGTGCCCAGATCTCATTCAGGGCCTTGGTTTTTGGTATAGAAAGAAGTCTCCTTCCTGTTACAGGAATGCCAGGTATAAGTCAACAATGGAGGGGCAGATACTTGGCATAGGAAGTCTTCCTGGCACCCCTGGAGTGAAAGGTGCCTTGCCATGGTGCCCTCAACAGACTTCTGAAGAAAGGCAAAGGAAATAATCACGAAGGTTCATATGAAAGCCGGGAGCCTGGTACCCGGGCGATCACTGCACTCCTCACGAGGCTCAACAGGCAGTCCTTGGCTCTATAGGCTGCTGAGTGTCTGGTTCTTTAGTCAACAAGCTGGAAGACTCTTTAATGAATGCTAGCCTGCTGTACTCAAGAGCCGCCAGTCCTGTGGCAGAGTGGATTCTGTAAAGGGAAATCATATGTAACCTTGGAGCTATATTTACTTTTCAAATGCTTCTCATTATGTTTAATACCAAGGCTATATTAAACATGAATTGCCATGGCATTAACTTTTTGAAAAATCATTTATAAGGAATTGGTGTACATAAAAAAAGGAAAATATAGACGAGAAAGAGACAGTTTTATGACTGAAAGATAAATAGTAGCCTTCCTTCAGGAGAGAAGATGCTGGGAAATCCTCAAGTCTGTACATAATATTCAGTTTTTTTCCCCCAGGCAGTCAAATGCCAAGCTGACGGGGGAGAAAGGAAAATCTCAGGAGGTTTTATGATTGGCAGATGATTCAATAGGGGCACATATAAGGTGATCCAGTTAGAGAGGGCCAGATATTCCAAAGTATACTTGCAGGCTGGTAAATGATGATCTTTCAATTAAGACCCAGGAAAGAGCTCTAAGAAACCCTGTGGACAGTCCCCTGAAGAGAACAACTTAGTGGCCTGCTACGGTTAAAAAAAAAAAAGGCAACAAAATGTTGAGCACTGTCAAGAAGGAGATTAAAAGACAAACAAAATCATTTTCCTTTTCCAGAGAACCACAGGACATCTTCATTGGTAATGTTACATAAGCAGTTCTGATCTGCACATCTCAAGGACAGAACACAGCCTGAGGGGAACAAAGAAGGGCAATTAAATCATCAGTGACAGGCTCCAGATTTTTCTCCCAGTCTGACAATACAGAGTTATCCGGGGGCCACGATGACGGTTCTGAAGAGGCCAGTGCTGCTGAATGACTGCGGGATGACTTGCTTCCCCATCTCTCTTGAGCTAAGAGGCACCTTTGAAGTTTTTATTTCTCATAGTTGTGCTCTGTTTACACAATGGCCAGTGAGGGTGGCCAGGACAGGCAGGCCCCTCTGGGAAGTCCCTGCTCTCCACCAGCAAGTGGGAGAAATGTGAGCAGGGGGCGGGGACAGGGATTAAAAGTGTTTCTGTCCCTACCGCTCACTTTCAGTGAGCTTGACCAGTAGACTTCTAGTCAGACTTACCTTGTCCACTGCCACTGTCGGCAGGAAAACGGCACCTGACCAATCTTAATTTGTATGAATATGAGTTTAACCTCTCTCCATTCTGTAGGACTCTTAAACCCCAATGGTCTTCAAACCAAACTGTCTGCCTATATATGTGTATGCTGGTAATTTGATTCTTAACTCTAGGTTAAAAAATTTTGGGCTAGGGAGGGATGTAGCTTGTGTATACAAGGCCCTGGATTCTATCTCCAGCACAGAAACATTCCCTCTTCTCCAATCCCCCCTCTCTTACTCTTTCTCTGCTCTCTGACTACACTTTTACTCGTGTGGATAGGTAGAACACAATAATGAATGGTAAATAATTAATGTCAAGTCTAATATTCATGCCAGTGGAGAAAAAAAACTGAAACATACCCTGTCGGGCTAATGAAACAGCACACATGCAAAAAAGTAGCAGTGAAGGGATTCCCCAGGACAATCTAAACGCTTTTATTCTGGGATGGTCTTTATCGTACTGTATAGCAGGTTAGGTCAAACCTAGGTCTCTGGTCCAGCTGTTTAGTCCTCTCCAACAGGGGATGGTTACCACATTAAATAAGCATAGTCAGTACTATCTAAAAGCTATGTGAGCCGGGCATCGTGGTGCATGCCTTCAGTCCCAGCACTTGGAAGGCAGAGGTCGGCGGATCTCTGAGTTCGAGGCCAGCCTGGTCTACAGAGTTCCAGCCAGGACAGCCAGGGCTATACAGGGAAACCCTGTCTCAACAACAACAACAAAAGTAAAAGGTATGTGAGCATCCAATGGTTTTCATTTTCCAGTTGTTAAGTAAAAGGTATGTGAGCATCCAATGGTTTTCATTTTCCAGTTGTTCTTGAAAACAAGAATCGTGAGACTGAAAAACATTGCACCTTTCAGAGCTCCAATCTACCTGCAACTAGCTCAGTGTTACTGCCATACCTTTCACAGATGTGGTAGTACTTCTCATCCTGTATGCCATCTTGAATGGGCACATTGACACTGTAGTAGCGGCCTTTCCCCAGGCCAACATCAGACATGTCACCTGTTCCTGTAAAAGACAGGAATGCTGTGATCAGTCACCAGGAACACAAGCACTAGGAAACACAAAGGACTGTCCAAGAGCAATTCAGAACAGCAAAATGCTCAGTTAGAACAATTCTAAATTCTTGGTTGTTACTGAGGAGATGAAACTATGAAAATAATCTAGAGAAATACTAATCACAATGTTGTGGGAAGCATGAAAACAATAAGGCAATTGAGAAATATTAATTTATATCTTAGTGGATGAAATAAAATAATAACAGCTAACATCACATGTTATTTGCAGTTATCAGAGTTACATGTGGTGTGTGATGAAATAATAAGTGGCCTGTCTGTTGACGGGCCATAAAAATCACATGGAATTAAAAAGACTATTCATTGTCATTGTCACTTGAAGTGATAGGAGTTAAAATTTTGCATAGAATAGTACAAATAAGGTGTTAACAGCATGGAAATATATAAAAATAAGATCTAAGAAACATGTCAAAGAATTGTAGTATCTAGACATGTAACGTATGGGGAGCATGCAGTTGACTTGCCTGGGAAAAATCCTGGGGAGAATTTGTGCAGGGACACAGTCATAACTTTGGATGTAAAACTGAAGGCGTCTTCTACACCTGCCCGAGAGAAAAGTCAGAGGGATCACTTCAGATATACAAGTCCTGTTTTCAACACCTGACAAACCTAACAGGCAGCGCTGGGAAGAAGGTGAGAGGAGAAGGCAGCTGAAACAGATAATGAGTGGAGAAATCAAAGAACACCAACTGCTGCTTTCTGCTTTCAGTAATTACAGATGGGGTAGAACATAACCCCAATTCATGGCGAACTGTAACTGCGCTTCCCTTTTCCAAGCGACAGGATGTCCAAGTTCACCATGACTTCTCTTCTAAATGGTATAAAAGAGCAAGAGCCCAGGACTGAGGCTCTAGCCACACAAGTGAGTATAGAAAAGTGGCACCAGCCAGGCAGGTTCATGGTCTGTTTTGTTTAAGCGTTTCTAGTTAAATTCTTGGGACTTTTTTCCAAGAACTCTAATATGGTAATCCTTTAAAATATAACCAGCAAATCAGTGACTAGGCTTTATTTAGTTAAAACTCAATGATGAGGTGCCTCTCTATAATATAGATTTGGTTATAAAAGTGGGTAATCCAAAGTCCCATGAGCACTAAGCAACCTACATCTTTCTGCTGAAAAAAAAATAGTCATGGCCCTGTTCCTTAACAGCTCCTGTAGAGGAAGATGTCTGTTTGTTTATTTATTTACTAAAACAAATGTTTGTATTTTGGAGCTGCTTAAAGGAAGTGAGAGAAATACAATTAAATTCTTTAAACCCAGGATAGTAATAAAACGTTAAAGGAGCTTGCTGCTCGCCAACTTCACACTGGCTTGGTGTGCGCCCAGAGTAAGGGGCACCTTCAGTTGTTAATAGCAGCTTTAAAGCTGTTTTAAAGCCTGGAGGAAGATGGGGGGGCTTTTGTAGACAGATGTCTCCTTTCCTCTTAAACAGTCAGCAAACGACTAGATGCCCAGGAGATAAAAGCTTGGGTTTAAAGTAACCCCTCAAAGCCACTAGTTAGGTCTTGGCCATGCTACCCAGTGCTGCGCCATCCTCTTGGGCTCTCAGTCATACCCAGACACTCTGACATGGAAGGCCCATTAGCAAATCCAGGTACTGTGCTCCTTTCTATTTCAAACAAAGATGTTGTCTCTGTGTTGACTTAAATGTATTTAAGTCTTTATTAGAGGCCAACAGAGACCTTACAAAATATGAACTCTATTTGTATATAACAGGTATGTTTGAATTTCCCAAGCCTTGTGTTTTGCCCTAGGGAGGTAGTTAAAACCAGTTAAAGACTCCAGGCAGAAAGCATTAAGTAAACAAAATAAAGTAAATGAAAATACCATTTCAACAGAGGCAGAAGTACTAAACAAGGGCACTTTATGAAAATGCTAATGATTTATCCATCCAGAAATGTAGCAATTTACATTTCTGCCAATCCTGTATGCAGATTCCTGTTTTCTCCCGTGATGACTAATGCTGGTAGTTGTTTCTTTTAACTCTTGGATGGCTCTCAGCTGCATTTCTCTTAGTGTTGGAGCACTGAACACCATTTCTTGTCTCATGGTAAATGCTATCGGGCATGGTTTAAAAAAATCATACTTTAAAAAGGACATGAGAGAGGCAGGGGACGTGGAGTTAATATGAGGGAGGAGAGAGGTTAGGTAGGGAAAGGTGAGGGTGGGCAGGAGTGGCCAGTGAAGCCCCACAGGATGCCAGTGGTAGAATCACGGGAGATTTCAATAAAGCAAATGTGGAAGAGTCTGGGGGTGGGGCAGAGGTCACTGGAAAGGAGGTGCTGAAGAGGGGAAATAAAGTGAAATGAAACACACCATAAAAGTTGGCTGAAACAGGAAACTCTAAATGCTGTAGAAATAACACTGCAATTGGAAAGAACGGTTTCAGGTGACAGTCTTATTTCATTTTTACATGGCTCGGCAGAGTCGGTCTATTTTTGGACTCTGGTACTAATACTCTGAATTCCATAAGCATTTGCTCATTCATAAAACAAATATTTTACTGAGTTGCTACTATATGCACAGTATGGACAGAAAAAAGTAAGCAACTTGATCTCTGCTCTGGGAAAACTTAACAGTTTCTGTGGGAAGAAAAGATATAGATATTTTATTTTTAAAGGGATAGTACAAAACAATACAACATGAAACAGTGATTAGTGTTACAAGCATACAGGGCATCAGCCCCACAAGAGTACTCTTGGGCTGCAGTGGCCGGGATAGCCATGGCTGGAACTTGAATGAATAGGTAGAATTTAGGGCTGCAGTGAGGGAGGAGGAGGTGGCTAAACTAGGGGAAAGGGAAGTGAAGTCAAGGAGGTGGCATTAGAGAAACGGGTCTGGAACAGGGAGACATGCTCATTGAGTAGAAAAATAGCAGGAGATGCTTAGAAAGACAAGGTGAGGCCTATTTGAGGCCTTGAAAGATGAGATAAAGTCTACTTTTCGAAGCCTGGTGGCAGTGGGGTGCACCTTTAACCCCAGCACTCAGGAGGCAGAGGCAGGTGGATCTCTGTGAGTTCTAGGCCACCCTGATCTACAGAGCATGTTCCAGGACAGCCAGGGCCACACAGAGAAACCTTGTCTTGAAAAACCAAGAGAGACAGAGAGACAGAGACACACACAGAGACAGAGAGAGAGAGAGAGAGAGAGAGAGAGAGAGAGAGAGAGAGAGAGAGAGAGAGAGAGAGAGAGAGAGAGGAAAGAAAGTTTACTTTTCCATAAAGAAGACAGTTTTCAAGGGATGATCTATAGTACAACTGAAGTGTTTTTACAGGGGAGACTATATGACTGACCTACTTCTTCTGAGTATCTGATACCTGTGGCACAGGAATCTGCACTTAAAATAAACTTCCCCAGGTCACCTAGATGCACCATCATGTATGAGAACCATTTCTCTAGGCTAGGGGCCATCAAAGTACATGTTGCTAGACAGTAAACATCCTAGACGCCCTAAACTACTTAGAGCCTCTGCACACATTTATACACACACACACACACACACACACACACACACACACACACACACACACACACACACACGTATTTTACAACCTTGTTAACCCACCAGGAAGGTGGTGGCGCACGCCTTTAATCCCAGCACTCAGGAGGCAGAGGCAGGTGAATCTCAGAGTTCAAGGCCAGCCTGGTCTACAGAGTGAGTTCCAGAGCTACATGAGATCCTGTCTCAAAAAACAAAAAGTAAAATAAAAATAAAAATAAACCCTTCCCCCCCAAAATGAAAACCCATTCTTAGCTCACTAGTCATATAAAAATAAGCCATTGTGACATGTTGCCCCTTTTAATGGGCAATGAAGAGGCTATGAACATTTTAAATCAAGGCTGTGTCCCAACCTGGAAAGTAGTCAGAAATTCAGGGGGCATGGTTCTCAATGTGTGTGATGTTTATTTTAACCCTTTGCTGTTATCTTTAATTGTGTGTTTCTAGCAATGTACTCCAATCCCAAGATTATATATGTTGGTAACACAAAGAAAGTGATCACTCCATGAACTGGTAGGCTGTCGGTGAAAACTCCAAAATGTTGGTCCTTCATATAGCCTTTCTACCTTGAGAGAAACGCTGATGAGAAGAGAGGAGACCATCACCTCTAACCCAAGAGTTCCCCTAGAACCCCTTCAAAGGCCCCAGAGTGGTTCCTGGACATTGGAATAAACATGAGCAAGACTTCCCCATTCTTCTACTCTCTACTATAAAGTTTAGCTTCAGGAGACAGGAGAGAGGCAGTGACAGGGGCCTGCCCACCTTGGGCAGCAGAGGGGAACTGCATTAGTCAGAGGAATCTATGCAGCACCTAGTCCAGAAATGACAATTAGGAAAATTTCAATTGCATTAGGCATTTCTCCTTTTATTTGTTGCCTAGAAGTAGCTTTACTGATCAAAACCTGCTGTCCTAGCAGTGAAGTATCTTTGAAACTGAAGGGCTTACCATCTCCATGGTGCAGATCCAAATCCACATAGAGGATACGTTCAAATTTCCGTCGCAATCTTAATATTCCCAGGACAGCATCATTGAGATAACAAAAACCAGATGCTTCATCTCTGCAAGAAAACAAGTTGCTACAGCCAACAACTAAAAAGCAGTCCAAGGGAGTCTTTACAGCCAAGCGTCTAACCTTTGAGTTCTAGTCCCATAAAGTCCCCCTTCTTTTAAGAAAAACAAAAATTCATCTATATGAATATAAGGATTATATAGTAAATGGCCCAGAATGATCAGAAAATGAAATATTTCCATAAATTAAAAATTCAGAATGATTGGTAATGTTTTCCTACTCACAATCACAGTGTTTCAAAAGCATTAGATTATTATAACTATATTGAATAAGACAATGTTTCTCTGACAATTAGGAGATCGTTAAAAAACCAGCAACCTTGGAGTGCCCTGGAGTCATAATGATAAACACTGAGTTTTCTCTTGTAGCACTCTAAGGAAGCTAAGACCTAGCTGGGGCCTTAAAGACAATTTTACAGAAGACGGAGATTGGGTTCTTTGTACAGACTTTATGATATAGCCCACAAGTTGGTTATTTTTTATTTTAATGTGCCTTGGCACTTGTTACTCAGGAAAACTTGGGTGTAGAACAGACAAATGCATAACCCTTTGGGCACATTCATGTACTTGCCTTTCTATGAGTGTAATTTTACAATGTGTAGTGAAGAAGCCTTTGCTAGAAGTATTTTGCTTCACACAAACCATTGTCACTGATTTCACCGGGGCCCTGTAACTTTTTTGTGTTGGTGTTGTGTCACTTTATCCTCTTATCAACATGCACTTGCTCTTTTATTACACTCTTATTTGAGCCTTGCTGATTAGATACAAAAGAACACTATTTATCAAGAGTGTATTAGACTTATTTTAGAGCCTCATTCCAAGTGCCACAGTCTCTTTTGCTTCCATAGATACTTCAAATATCCAGCAACCCCGCCCCCTTCTGTTTCCCATGAGATTTTACTTGAAACAAAAATCTAGGCATGGACACTTGAAATGGCATCACTGCTACTGTGAGAAACCTTTCTAGTGTTTACGTAATGTAGAAAACTTCATGAAATCTCTTTCCAACGAGATTCCACACTCTAAACGATGCCCTGGTTCACATGCTGAATTGATGAAGACAGGTACAATGATGAGCAGCAGATTGGTTAAAAAAAAATCACTGGATACTGCCTGTGCTTCACTGAGAGGACACAGCAATTGTTCTAACTAAATGGCTTGTCCTTAGGTTTGCAACAGGGAAGAAACCAAGGAGAGAAAGGATGAGTTCAACCACGAATCCTCTGGGAGAATTAGATGTGGGGCTCTGAGTGTTCTTGCATGTGCATGCTATTTTCCAGTTCTGAAAATTGACATTCTACAAATCTACTGTCTTAATGCATCAAAAGAGTTAATGTGTTATCCTAATGATCATCAAACACTTTCGGGATGGAACAGTAAGTACTAGGCAAAAGGAGGGAAGAGAAGATGGTCGTGAATAATGATGGCCATAATACTGACAATTCTGAAGTTCTTTTCTGTGGGAATGTGTAATCTCTTCTTTCCTCTAGATGGGATTACCAAATTAGATGATCAAAATCTCATAAAGTGGGGTATGTGGTATACACATGTAATGCCAGCACTCAGTAGGCAGACACAGAATCCTAAGTTGGAGGCCAGCATGGGTTACATGGTAGAACCCTGTCTCATAAAACCAAGGGCTGGAGATAAAGCTCAGAGATAGAGCAATGACCAGTATGTGCACAGCTCTGGTCTCAATTCCCAGTATTAAAACAACAACAAGCAAACAAGCTCTTAGATGAAGGGAGTTTTGTTTTCTTTGGGGAGGGTGGGGTATTTGCTCTACACTTCCACATCATAGTCCATCATTGAAGGAAGTCAGGACAGGAACTCAAACAGGGCAGGAACCTGGAGGCAGGAGCTGATGCAGAGGCCATGGGGGCGGGGTGCTGCTGCTTACTTTTATTCTCATTGGCTTACAGAAATAAATACACGTTTAGATAAGATTGCTAAAATTCCCACAAAATGAGGAAACTGAACTTTCAAGACCTCCAACATGCTAAAAAGTAATCTTTAAAAACCTATCCAAGCCAGGCGGTGGTGGCGCACGCCTTTAATCCCAGCACTCGGGAGGCAGAGCCAGGCGGATCTCTGTGAGTTCAAGGCTAGCCTGTTCTACAGAGTGAAATCCAGGACAGGCAGGGCTACACAAAGAAACCCTGTCTCGAAAAACCAACAAACAAAACAAAACAAAAAACCTATCCAAGTGCCAGGTGTGGTGGTATAAGTCTTTAATCCCAGCAAGCAGATCTTTGTGAGTTCAAGGCCAGCCTGGTCTACATAGCAAGTTCCAAGCTACCAAGGACTACATAGTTAAGACTATCTTTTTTAAACTTCCTTTTTATTTATTCTTTGTAGCTTTCACATCATGCATCTCCCCCATACCTTCATATCCACTCTGTGCCCTTGCAATCTCCCCCTAAAATAATATCCACTCTGTGCCCTTGCAATCTCCCCCTAAAATAAAATAAAATTTAAGAGAAAAGCAAAGAAGAAAAATCTTGTCATCGAAGCTGTACTGTGACACAGTGAGTTACACAATATACCCTTTAGTCCATATATCTTTACTTGCAAATGTTCATTGCAAACAATCATTGGTCTGGTTTGAGGCCTCTGGCTTCTGCTACACCATCAATACTGGATCCTCACTGGGGCTCCTCTTGGATATCCTGTTGTTGCCCTGTGTCATGGAGATCCTATAGCTTTAGATCTGCAGGACCGGCCCCTTCACATGCTCCAGCAGATCATAGAGGGGATGGATGCTGGGGTGTGCCAACTCATAATCTGGGTAGTTGCAGGGTTGGTCAGTCCACCAGGGTGAGATCTCCAGCACTGTCCCGGCTAATTTACCCCTTGCAATGAGCAAGGAGCGGGGCCAGTTCTGCTTTCATACTCTCAGGGTCAGCTCACCCACACCTACACTACCAGGGTCAGCTCACCCACACCTACACTACCAGGGTCAGCTCACCCACACCTACACTACCAGGGTCAGCTCACTCACACCTATACTACCAGGGCCAGCTCACCCATACCTACACTACCAGGGCCAGCTCTATTGTGCTGCACAGGCGAAGTGCAGGGGCCACTCTCCTGAATGCTGCAGCTAGCTGGTGAGAGGCAGGGAAAGCTCTCCTGTTCTTGGGATCTCAGGGCCAGCTCTCCCAAATGCCACCGGCAGTGAAGGGCAGGGCGGGGATGTCTCTTCCTTGCCACCTTTTGGCAGATGAGGGGCAGGGTCAGATCTCTCAAGCTCACATTCTCAGGCTGGTTCATCTACACCCTGTCAACAGGGTCAGCTCTACTGTGCTGCCCAGGCGAGGTGCAGGGCCAGCTTTTCCGAGTGCTGCAGCTGGTAAGGGGGAGGGTCGAGGCACGCAGGGCATCTTTCCCCTGCCCTCACCACCACATGACAGACAAGGGTGGTATGGCCAGTTATCCCACCCTCATGAGAGGGTCAGCGCCCTCATCTGCCACAGGTGGCAAGGGCCAAGGGGCAGTGAGACTCTATCTTTTAAAAAAAGAGACATATTTTAAGAATTCAAGATCATACAATTTATGTAAAATTTTAATAATTAAGACTAATTTAATAATTTACTAAAAGCAATTATATCTTCTCAGTTGCAGGTATAATAAACAGGAGTATTTTTAGTCCACTTAGATATGTTCTTCCTAAACATTTTACAGGTTTATTGATGGAACGAGCTAGCATTACTTCTAACAAATGTTTAATAGTTCGCAAAATGTACATTTGTTTAACCAAGTTGAGCCATTATTATGGCAAACTTTACTTCAACAGTAATTGTGTTTTGTATTCTATTAGCTTAAGATAATTTGTAAGATCTTAAGGTAACTGAAAATTCTGGCTGATGCCTAATTTAATTATTTCTAAGGAAATGTTGAAGTATTAGCACAGAACCTTGGGCTTATATGCATTTGCTTCTTATCTGTGCATGTGCATGTGAATGCATGGTACATTCATGTGTTTACTGCATGCAGAAGTCAGAGGTTGATTTTGGGTATCTCAGGCTTGCTTTTATTTACTGAAGAAGGGTCTCTTGCTGAACCTGGAGCTCACAGATGCGGCAAGTCTAGCCAGTCAGTTTGCCCTAGGGCCCCTCTGTCACCACCTCCCACGCACTGGGATTACAGGCAGGCCACCAAGCCTACCTGGCTTTTTTATGGGCTGGTGATCCAAACTCTGGTCCTTACGCTTAGGCAGTAAGTATTTTATCCAGTGAACCATCTCACTAGCTCTGCTTTTATTTTTATAAGTTACAGGACGCTATATTTAAGTGTGTTAAAGGGTGTGTTCTTTTTGCCACCAACAGAGGGACTTTGTACTATAAAGGTATGTATGTACTATAAGGATACAGAAAGTTGTAGAGGGTTCACAAAAGAGAATTTTATTTGTTTAGGTCAAAGCTGGCTAAATTTTGGTGTATGATTTATAAAATTTCTCACAAGAACTCTAATTCCAAGCATATTGATGAAAAACTAGTTTTGTTATTTCTGTGTCTAAAAGACAAAGAATTTTGGATTCTTAGTCTGTTCTTACAGCAAGCTGGGAATGGCTTGCCTTACCTTCTGGAAAACCTTCTTAGGTAACAAAGATTCTGTGTCTTCCCAGAATTATCTTCCAGGGTTTCCTACTTTTCATGTCCACTGGCCTCACATATGGCAAACAAGCCTTCTTTTTTGGGATCTGTTCCCATCTTTCTCTATTACTTAAGAAAGCAAAGTCTTCTCACTTAGGAAGGAGCTAACAGCTTTAGGCTTTACCATCACTTTACTTCTATGCTTATATGGACAATATTTTATTGTTACTTAGGTAACAACACATAATCCTATCTTAATCAAGTCTCAGAGAGCCGATAGGACAAAACCACAAAGGATTTTTGTTTGACTTCATAAAAAGAGAGGCACCTATGACAATTAGCTTTGTGTTGTGTTATTATTGCAACATCACATAGGCAGAGCCATCAAGCCAAAAGTGGTAATTTGCCTCTCCTAGGTTAAAATGGTAAAATGTTACCAATATAAATATTTCAGAAACTGTATGCTGTATGAGATCATGTATGTCTCCACCGGTCATGATATGTTTCTATTTGTCAGAGTTAAGCTTGCTTCTTTGTCAAATGTTAGACAACTAGAGGACCACAGCTCTCACCCATCTGTGAGGACTACATGCCAACACCCCTAGTGGGTTCCTGAAACCCTGGAAAGTACAAAACACTTTATATATCACGTTTTTCTGTATGTATGTATGTATGTATGTATGTATGTATGTGTGAGATACATAGCTGGCTTATGATAAAATCCAAATTACAAGTGAGGCACAATAAAAGATTAACAATAATATCAAAATGGAACGATTAGAATACAGCATAATAAAAGTTATATGAAATATAGTCTTGTTCTCTGTCTCTCCAGATACACTTTAAAACATTTTTCTCTTTTATTATTTTATGCATATAGGTATTTTGCTTGCACGTATGTCTGTGCACCACATGCCTATCACCTCATGTGGAGGCCAGAAGAGGGCATCAGATCCCCTGGAACTGGAGTTACTGTTATGAGCTGCCATGTGGGTAATGGACTTCAACCTGGGTCCTTTGGAAGAGCAATCAGTGCTCTTAATGCCTGAACCATCTCTCCAGCCCCTCTCCAAATATATTAATGTCCTGGACTGATCATGGTTCATCATGAGGAACTGAAACTGAGGAATGTGAAATCATGGATGGGGGTTGTTGTAGTTAGGGTTTCTATTGCTGTGATAAAACACCATGACCAAAAGCAACTTGGGGAGGAAAGTGTTTATGACATTTTACAGCTTGTAGTTCATCATCCAGGAAAGTCAGGGCGGGAACCTAGAGGCAGGAACCAAACCTGATGCGGAGACCCATAGAGGAGTGCTGCTTACTGGCTTGCTCCTCATGGTTTGCTCAGCCTGCTTTCTTATAGAACCCAGGACCACCACCCTAAGGATGGAACCACCCACAGTGGGCTGGGCATTGCTTTCAACTGAGGCTCCCTCTAGTTTATGCCAAGTTGACAAACACTAGCCAGCACAGGGGCCTAATGCACGAAGTTTTCACTCAAAATTTCAGGAGTTTTTGGTTCAGTGTTAACTTGATCATAACTATGCTTCTTGATTTTGAATCTTGGATCTTCCTAGTCACTAGTTTTCAACTGGGGATTCATATCATTTCCCTAATACAAATGTTTAAGATGTAGTCTAGATTTCTGAATCTCTTTATTTGCTTTCCCTGATAGAGTCTGGGTATAATCTAACTAAATGCTTGATACATTCATTTTACACTGGGTCCAGATTTTTATATGCTATTTCTGAGTCTTTTCTCTATAAAGATAATGTTCATACATTTTTATAAATTAGACACAATACCCTGTCTTCTTTGAAAAGAGTTAATCATTATGTTTACAGATATTTTGTTGACGATTTTTGGATTGGCTTTTATCTTGTTTTGCATGCCACAGTAACAACTACATCTCCTTGTCAGCTGCATTATTATTCCTGTAATGAACTCTCATCAGATTTTTCCCTTTTGAAAATGAGCAGTAATAAGGTAACCACAGCTATTGTAAGCCTTTTGTCATCTACACATTGCTTTTTATGTTTTCTTTCAATGCTTCCCTGAAAGTACCTACCACTCACTATAAGCTAGAGGGCTTCCATCTCAACAAAATACCCTCTGAGAGCTCTGACAGCCTCACGAGAAAGAACTGTGCTGGGGGCTTTTGTGCGCAAGCTTCTGTCGGATAGTTTACTTTCTTTTATTATGTGGTACTGAGGATTGTACCTAGGGCTTTATACATGCTAGGCAGATGCTCTACCACTGAGCTATAGCCCCAACCCTGGTTTACTTTTTCTTTTCTTCTGTCTCTCACTCTCCCCCCCCCCCAGCCTCAGGGGCAGAACCTACTGCCTCACATATGTGAGACAAGCACTTTAGGACTGAGAACCACCCTAGAACAAGTTTGAAGCCACACTAGTGAATAGTAAACTAAGACAAAATTTTGAAAACTAGCTGAAAAGAAGGTGAGTTAATAATTCTCCTAACTCAAGCCTGAAGGGCATAACTATTAATCATAGAGACCCCTCAAGGAGCTGATGAAGGATGATCAGGAGTTCTGTTTGGAATATTGGTTGGTTTGTTTTGAGACAGGGTCTCATGGCTGGCCTGAAACTCACTATACAGAGCAGGCTGGCCTTGAATTTGTGGCAGCCCTTCTGCCTGTCTCCTTAGTGCTGGGATTGACAAGCAGGAGCCGATACACCTTGCTGGCCACCTGCTATTTCCATGGCTTGCTCTTGTTAAATCCTAGCCATGTTAGTACATACATGGTGGCATCCCATTGAGGATTTGATTTGTGTTTCCATGATGACTGATACCAGACTTCTTTTCAGATTCTGGTCGCCCTGTGTATGTGTTTGAAAGATGCCTATTCAAGTCCTCTGTCTAGTCTGAAATTTGTCTTTTTCCTGTTGAGAAGGATTATTCATATTTTCTGCATAGTAAGACCTTATCTATCAGATAAATGACTGACAAATATCTTCCCATCATGTAGGTTGTCTTTTCCTTTTCCTTAATGTTCTTTGACACATAAAAGTTGTTAATTTGATGCCAGTTACATGGCCCAGTGTATAAAGACACTTCCCATGTTAGCCTGGCTCAGTGTATAAAGACACTTCCCATGTTAGCCTGGCTCAGTGTATAAAGACACTTCCCATGTTAGCCTGGCTCAGTGTATAAAGACACTTCCCATGTTAGCCTGGTGACCCAGGTTTGATCCACAGAACCTATGTAAATATGGAAGAAGAGACCTGACTCCACAATGCTGGCATCTGACCCCTCTACATGTGCACTGTGGCACACACACTCACACACATTATGCACACACACACACACACACATACACACACACACACATTTTAAAAGGTTTTATAATTTGATCAACTCAAGTTTATCTCTTTTTTACTTTTAATATTTTTGTCTCCAAGTGGGTAGGGTTACAAGTATGTATCACATCTGGCTTGCTTGTTTGACATGGGGTATCATTATATACCTACCTTAGATTATTATTATTGTTGTTGTTGTTGTTGATTTGGATTTTTGAGTCAGTCTCGTTATGTAGCTCTAACTATCCTGGAATTCACCTCTCAGAGATCTGGCTACTTCTGCATGCAGAGTACAGAATTAATGTGTTTACCACTATGCCTGGCTCTAGCTTGGATCTGAATTTGTGACCTTCCTGCCTCAGCCTCCAAAATCCTAGGATTATAGCAAAGCATGGTGGCGTACACCTTTAATCCCAGAACTCAGGAGGCAGAGACAGAGGCAGTTATATTTCTGTGAGTTCAAGGCCAGACTGGTTTACATAATGAGTTGGAGGCCAGCCAAGGCTACATAGTAAGAGACCCTCTCTCAAAACTGAACAAACAAAACCAAACAAAAAACAAAACCAACAAGAAACCCACACTAGCACCAAAAGTCCTGGGATTATAGCTTTTCACCATACCTAGTTCTTGTGGTCATTAAGTCATCTATGTTTAAAGACACCTCAATTACTGGACTCTAAAACAACTGACCTTTGGTATTACCGCTTAGCAGATGGCTCACTGAGTTTACAGGAACGACAGTGCCCGAGAGACTTTCATACACGTCTGCTTCGGTCCACGCAGGATTGTGATTGACATTTGTCTTAAACAAAGGGGAGAGATGACTGTGTTGAAGTTTATCTGAGCCCTGCTTACCCTAGAAAGCTGAGATGGCTAAGAAATTTTTCCCACCTCTGGTTTTCCAAGAAAAGATGAAGCACAGGGTTCACCCTCCCTTGGCACATTATTCCAGGTGCAAATCCACCTCCACCCTCCCTTATAAGACTTACAGATGACTCACTTGTTTGTCTGCCACTGGAACAACGCGGGCCCCCTTCCTGTTCTTTGAGATGGCTCTCATTCCCGAATGGCCTCCCATTGCAATAGCTGAATAACTAACTGCCTTAGATGCCCACTGCATTCTGTCTTTCCCATCACTGACACGCATGTCCAGGAGAGACCAGGTTCAACATACATATTTCTGAACACTTTGGGGAATGAGTATGCAGTTCTGTGATCAGGCAATTGCTTAAAAAATAACCCCCCCCAAAAAGACAGAGCTCCACCTACCTTCTTAAATGCCTTGACGAGCTGTGCCCCACAAAGTCAGTCTTTAACAAAAAAGCATAATGCTCAGTCAACTGCATTTACTGGTTTTTATGCCCATTAAAGGTCAGGGACAGCCAGGTGTGGTGGCTCAAGCTTTTAACCCCAGCACTTGAGAGGCAGAGGCAGGTAGATCTCTGAGTTCAAGACCAGCCTGATCTACAGAGTGAGTTCTAGCACAGGGCTACATAGAGAGACTGTGCCTCAACAAACAAACAAACAAACAAACAAACAAACAATAAATAAATAAATAAATAAAAATGTCAGAGAGACTGTGCCTCAACAAACAAACAACAAACAAATAAACAAACAAACAAACAAATAAATAAATAAATAAAAAATGTCAGAGATGCTTGGGTCCTGATGTGAAGACTTTGAGGTAAAACATCAGGTGGCCATCTCACTCTGGCAAAAGCACATGCCAACACTGTTCTATCACTTCAAAGATTCTACAAAAATATTTTATAAAATGTTTGCTGCTGATATTTATTGATGGACATTTAGAGTATTCCCAGTCTATCCCTTTTACAAGTAAGTATTCTGCAGCAGAGAATCTCGAATATGCCATTTTGAATATGTACAAATATGTATGAAAGACTATTAGATGAGTAATCCCCGAATCAAAGATTTTACTTGTAATTTAATTAAAATTGCCAAAATTGTCTTGCATTTAGTCTATAATTGTGAATACCGTGTTAGCAAACTTTTATGCATGTAATAATGTAAAAATGGGAAAATGGGGAAAAGTTAGCATTATAGACTTTTAATGATATTTTCTCATTTGGACCTTTCTAAAAAGACTTAATCATATGTCTGTTTTCTCTTTTAGTGTTAACAAACAGCTTAACATTCTTTGCTTCCATTATAGCTGTTTTGGAACCAGCTGAAAATACAGTTTGGCTCTGTAGGTATACAACAAAAATATCAGCCACTATTTATTGGGTGTTAGCCTGTGCCAAGAACTGTACCAAATGCTTTCAGCGGTGTTGACTCAATCAATTCTCACAACAGTCATGTGAGGTAGGTACTATTATTATTTCTATTTCACAAATGAAGGAAGTAAAGTACAGAGAAGTTAAGTAACTTTTCCAAGGTCACACAGCTAGGAAGTAGCTCAGCTCAAACTGGAATTGTGTAAAAGCACTGTATGAAGATGTGATTGACATATAAAGAGTTATACTATATATGTTTCATTGCATACAGTTGGTGAGTTTGAAAATAAGCATACATTTGAAAAATAATTAGACTTCATGTCATAAGTCTCTAAAATTTCCCATCTTCATCTTTATTATTTATGATAAAAACATGTAGCAAACTTTCCAAGTATACAGTATGGTGTTGTTAACTATAGGTGTTTTGTGGGACTCTATAAATTTCTAAATGTCCGTCAGTGGATAAATGTTTAAAGGCAATGCAGTATACATATAAGAACAGAGTGTTATTCAGGCTTTAATAATGGAAATCCTGCCATTTGCAACAATATGGATGAACTTGTAGGACATTATACTTAGTAAAATAAACCAGATATTCAAGAACAACTACTATTTGATTCCATTTAGATCACGAAAAGTATATGGCCAAAGTCTTAGCAGCAGAGCGGAATGGTGGCCGTCAGGAGCTAGTAGGAGAGGCAATGCGGAAATGCTTGAATTCGCCTTTCAGTTGTCTGGCTCTTTGGCCTACATGTATAGTCATCATGATCAATAGTTTTGGTATCTTTCTATCTCGGCTCTTACTCATTTCCTTCCATGTGATTCTTACACTGTTTCTTCTACTCCCCTTTCCCCATTTCAGTCTTGTTAATGTAGGTCAAGTTCATCTATTTCCTATGATTTTACAAGATTTGGATTGTCTTTTCCATGAACACTTGGCTATTTTTTTGTGTTTGTCTCTGTCCCCTTGCCCATTTTCTACATGTTTGGACTTAGAGCTTTTTGACTACTGATCTTTTAGCAGCAACTTATATCTCAAGGTTTCTATTCCTCCCACCAAGGTTTAATCATTTTAGCTTTCAGTAAGGTTACTTGGATTTGAGATTAATGAGTTGTTGAAATTCTCCCTAAAGGCAGGTAAATGACCCAGGGCCAGATTTTCATAAGCTTCCATGTGATCTTTGCCTCTATAAACCAAATTAAGCCACTGAGCTAGACTCTTCATATTTAGAATTTATACAGGAATATGTGTGACAAACGGTTAGGTCAAGAAGGTCCTACTTGTGAATACAAAGAAATTCATTAACTGTATGAGAAAACTACTGAAAACGTGACCCAGGAAGTAAAATAAATGTGACAGCAGTATAATTCTCTGCAGTATAATTTCCCCCTTTCTGTACAGTTTGATATGATAGGCAGTTACTACTGAAGATAAATGAAGACTTGAGAGAGTAGAAAGGAGGTACTATTTGCCTGAAATGTATCAAGAAAACTGACTCTGAATCCGTTATAGTGAGAAGTATCAGAAGGTTCTTTTCAGAATTGGGCCATATTTCCCTTTGGATAATTATACCGTACACTACAAATGGGTGAGAAAGTGTGAACAGTTCTAGTTCCTACCCAGGAGCTTAGATAGTTCATAAACAGAAGAGTCACAGTCGTGAGTGGGTTCATGAAAACTGCCGAAGATTAATTGAGTTAGGGAATAAATTGAGTAGACAGGTCATCATGAACTAAATTCATTAGTTGTTTTCATTGGACACAGAAGGTCTTCTTTTTCTGGCTCTAAGCTTCTTTTGGACACTTTCCTCAGATGGCAAATAGAATTTTCCTGCTCTGAAACATGTTTTTATTCATAAAATGTAGACTAGCAGATCCAAAGTCTTTACTTGGCTGATGAATTTTTCTTTTATGTACCTTTTTTTTTTTTTAAAGAAAAAGCAGCAAAGAAGAACCCTCACAGGTTCCAAAGCCATTTCCTAGGATGTACCTCAAATTTTTCCAGGTTCAGTCAACAATGTCTACCTCTAATGCTCTTGGTTCAGTGGAGTCCAGGAGGCTGAGAGAAGCGGCAAGATTAAGTCAGACCCACTCTCCTGCGCTTACTAAAGCAGAAATGTATAGGTCCTCATATTTGTGAGGTGAGTACTAACTGAAGCTCTCTCTCCAGCTCTCCATTTTTATTTTACCTCATTATTTTAATGACATTTACATTTTATTACATTTACTTATTTGCTGGGGGAGGGGCCATGTGTGGAGGTCACAGGACAATTTGTGGGAGTCAGTTCTCTCGTGTGTGGGTCCCAGGGATTGAACTCAGGTACTCAGGCTTCACGGCAAGTGCCTTAACTCACTCGCCGTCAGTTTTTATCTTAAACTCCTTTAGTGGACTCAAAAATTCAATGGCTTACCTACAAACACTGGACGGGGGACTTAAACAACAGTTTGAGTGCAATCGATGGAAATTGTGCCTGTTAACCTTTCTAGTTCGAGAAAACACAAACGCCCCGGCAAAGCAGCTGGCCCAGGCACGGTGCATATGCATTTGTATTGCTGCACCTGGGCCTGGCAGACAAGATGGCTGTCTCAAGAGCCAAAGACTTTATGTGCTTGCATCCCCAACCTACGTAAGAGACCCAATTAAATTGACTGGAGTTTAGATTAGGTGTGGATAGGAGGAAATGCCATTGTGTTCCCTGAACTGATCCCAACCTCGGCCAAGTCAAGGGAAAAAGTAAAGTGCTTGTTTTAGAAATGCAGTGAAGGCTTTCAGACTTTCTGGCTTCGGTTGATGCAAATTTAGGGTAATTTCTGACATACAAGAAAAACATATGGATGCTCCTCAAATATCCTTTTGCTCACAGGACTATTCTCTTCCTCAAAGTTTGGCCACGGATCACTAAAGTTGTTCAAAACTTAGATTAAAAATATGTAGGGTCTTGTTATAGCTACATTGACTATAATACTAGCTAGATGGAACACAGGTTGAACATCCCTTATCCAAAATGCTTGGACCAGAAGTGGTGCAGATTTAAGAGTTTTTCAGATTTGAGGATATTTTAAAGACTACCAGTTAAGTATCCTTAATCCTAAAAGTCTCAAATCCAAAAATGCTCTGAAGCCTGCAACTTTCTTTTTTGTGTGTGTGATACTGGGTATTGACTCTGGTCTTTGCACATGCTAGATAAACACACCACCCCTGAATATATATTTCCCAAGCACAACCTAAAACTTATGAATGCTCTTTCTATAAGTTTTCTGAAAATAAGTAGCTAAATTTCAGAAGATATTCATAATATTGTACCTAAATTCTACTTATCATCTTTCATATACAGATAGTGACTTCCTAACAAAAATGGTAATTAGTTCAATTTAACAGTTAAGGAATTTTCCTGAGTAGCCTCATATTTAAAGAAAGGCATCATGCTAAAAAGACAGAAAGTCAAGGGTTTTGCCTGGTACTCAAAGGGCTGATGAAACAAGGCTTGGAATCTTTTTGGCTACTCCTAGAGAATGGACTTCTAGTCCCCAGCAGTACTATGGCTCTGTCATGATGTCTCAGTCTCAGGCAGTTGGCCTAAGAGGGGGCAGTGTATGCAGTCAACCAACAGGTAGGTGCTAAGGAGTTGTTCCATGTTCTGGGGTTGTAGACAACACACAATTTCCTGGATCTTGCCCTTGAAGTGTTTTCAATTGAGTTGAATTGAGCTGAAAGACAATATTTATCTACACACATACATATATAGTTAATACGTGTTCAGCTATATGGAATAGACTACGCTTTCTCAGCCTCCCAGCATCTGGCCCTATACTGGGAACTCCCTTCTAAGTGTCTCTGTGGACTTGTGGTCTCATGTATTCTCATTAGCTCCAACTGAAGCAAGGGAGGAAAAGGCTATTCCTCTTCTACAATTGAAAAACAAGATGATTTATGCCTCTAGGTACTTAAAGAATTGGCCTAAGGTTGCAAAGTCTTAAGCAGTCCTATACTCTTTCTCCTATACTCTCTGCTCACACAGTTTACACTGCCTGTTCAAACTTGTTCAGTGTGAGTCTGACGATGTGACTGCCCTGCTTAAAAGCCCCTTGGTGGGTCCTATAGTACATGGCCTCTGATCTCACTATTCCAAACGTTAGCCACACCACACTTTTCTTTGTTTCTTAAATACAACAGCATGCCTGGCCTCTGTACATACATAGTCTTAGACCTGAGGAACACTTTTTATATTTCCTGAGCCCCCTCATCCTTGAAGACCTGGCTGTGATAACATCCCAGAAGTTCCACATTCTTTCTCCAGGTAGAAGAAATGTATCTCCCCCACTTTGTGTACATGGTCCAAGAATTTATTGGACCATCTTCCATAGTACTTCTCAAACCTGATTATGAGAATTACTTCCTGCAGCCATTTCCCCTGCTAGACCATACACTGTCTGGAAGACGGACTGTATCTACTTTCCTTACCTAGAACAGTACTTGGGCACTTGGTAGAGTCTGAGTAAGTCTGGGAGAGTCTGAACCAACAAATGGTTTTTACTTTCTTTCTTTTTTTTTTTTTTGGTTTTTGAGACAGGGTTTCTCTGTGTAGCTTTGCGCCTTTCCTGGGACTCACTTGGTAGCCCAGGCTGGCCTTGAACTCACAGAGATCCTCCTGGCTCTGCCTCCCGAGTGCTGGGATTAAAGGCGTGCGCCACCACCGCCTGGCGGTTCTTACTTTCAAAGAATTGAACAGAATCAAAATTTTTAGAAAAAATTATTTTTATTGTTTTCTTTGAATAAAGGAGAAAAAAGCCTCCAACTGTATAAATGTGATCAACCAGGAAAATGCTGGAACAGATCATTAAGAAATGGACTGGTTATACCCAAATTAGGAAATTTTAAGGGGCTGTGACTCACTGTACAAATGTCCACCCACTACAACAAATAAACAGAGAAACAAGCATGGATTTTGTAGAAGCCAGCCCTGGGTCAGGAGAGCCATGGCATAAGGCCTTAAAATAAAACATGTGGGAAGAATAGGATATGTTTAATTAGATAGGACTAAAACTAAGTTAGCTATAGCCGTGTTGTTTGGTAGACACACTTGAAATTAAAATGACTTGAAGTTACCTGGGAAACAGGTGGATGTTACTCTGGTGAAACTTAATGCTGGAACCCAAAAGGTAATTCATAAATGTGAAACAACTCAGACGGGTGGGTGCTATGCTGGAAAGCCATATTGGAAGGGCTTCCTGCAGCACAGCATGACCTTCTGGATACCTGATCACAACAGCTTATTGTGCAGTATCAAGCTAGATCGATGAAACTTAGTACTGCTGCTTGGAACCCATGGACAGGCTTTCAACTCCGAAATGACTACTTCCTGGTACATTAGCGTCTGCACTGACAGGCATAGGTATAAGAGGCTACTGCTGTCAGTCGTATCATCTTCCTGTGTTGATGATGAAGATACAAAAAAGTAGCACAAAGTCAGGTATGGTAGTACACACCTATGCTTCCAGCACTAAGGAAGCTGAAGCAGGAGGAATTGGAGTTCTAGGTCAACCACAGCTACAGAGCAAGGTCAAGGCTAGCCTAAACCACAGAGCAAGTTGCTCCCTGAAAATAAACAAAAGCAAAAACCACATCCCCCAGGGCTGGATAGATGGCTCTGATTCCTAGCACCCATGTTGGGTGGCTCACAACCATCTGTAATTCCAACTCCAGAGATCTGCCATCTCTGGCCTCAGGGGGCACCTGCACTCATGTGCACATACACATAATTAAAAACAAAAACCAATCTTTAAAAACACCCAGTAAATAAATATAAAAATATTTCAGAAGGAAATTTATGTGGAATTGAAACACAGAAAACAAAACAAACTAGGGTGTGGTGATATATTGTGTACCCTAAATAAACTTGCCTGAGGATCAGAGGACAGAGCCAGCCACTAGATTAGACATAGAGGCCAGGCAGTGGTGGCACACACCTTTAATCCTATCACTTGGGAGGCAGAGATCTGTCTGGATCTCTGTGAGTTCAAGCCACACTGGGCTACATGAGACTGAACCAGTATAGGAGAGAAATAGAGCCAGGCAATGGTGGCACCCACCTTTAATCCAAGCACTTGAGATCTCATGCCTTTGCTTGGGAAGCACACATGCCTTTAATCCCAGGAAGTAATATGGCAGGGCAGAGAAAGGTATATAAGGCTTGAGGAAATAGGAACTCACTCTCTTTAGGCTGAGGATTTCATAGAGGTAAGAACTAGTGGCTGGCTGTTCTGCTTCTCTGATCTTTCAGCTTTCACCCTGATATCTGGCTCTGGGTTTTTTATTAAAAGACTAAGATTCAAACAACACTAGGGGCCAGCGCTCTGTTTTTTTTTTGTTTGTTTGTTTTAATTAAAAGACCATCAAAGATTCGAACAACACTTGGGGCCAGCGATATGGCTCAAGGCTCAGTTAGTAAAGCATTTGCTGTGTAAGCAGGAGGACTTAAGTTTGGATCCTCAGGACCCATGTAAATAGCTGGTGCAACACAGTCTGTGACTGTACTCCCAGCACTGGAGAGGCAGTGCTTGCTAGCCAGTCTAGCCAATCAGTGAGCTCCAGGTTCAGTGAAAGACCCCCTCAAACAATAAGGTCTCAGAGAGCAGATAAAGAAAATACCTAACATTGCTTTCTGGCTTCTACACACATGGTAGCACATGTGTGCACATATACAAACACATATACACACAAAACAGAAACACAAATAACAGCAGTGTTGTAGTTAAAGTAGGACAGGTGGGAAGTCAGTGGACGTTTGGGAGTCCAGAATCCTATTTCGTCAGCCATTCCTTACTTTCTACAACTGCTTTGGAGGCACCTTCAAGGAAAGCCTATAACAGGTGCTGTGGGAAAGGTTTTGATACATGGGACAGAGCTTTATATTAATTAAAACATTAGCTCATGCTCACTACTGGCTAGCTCTTGCACTTAAAAACTCATCCCATTTCTGTTAATCTATATGTCGCCATGTATTCTGTGGCTTTACCTGTATGCCATTACATGCTGCTCCCTGGACGGCAGGCTGGTGTCTCCTGACTCAGCCTTCCAGCCTTCCCACAATTCTTCTTGTCTGCTTATCCTGCCTATACTTCCTGCCTGGCTGCTGGCCAA